ATATATATATATATATATATATATATATATATATATATAGTAGCACAATCCACAAATCACGTGGAAACAACAGCGTACTATAATTAACCTCATACTTTGAATCTGTCATCCTTTTTTTCAATCCAGGCTAAAAATATATCGAATGTTGAAGTCTGTATGCAGAGCAATACTGGTGGAAAAAAATACAATTATAATCGTTCAGTTTCCTTTGGGTTTCGAAGTGCCTGTCGGGCTATGTGGTCTTGAAAAACGTGGCAGGTTTACATATGATGAAAATCAGAATTCTTATATCTTCAGCCATTCGATTCGTAGCTCCCTAAGTGGCATGAATTGGGTATTACGAGCTAAATCAATATCTAACACACTGTAACACTTAGGTCGAATTCGGCAATGCCTTTTACAATTTTAACTCAATCGTTAGTCATCGCAGTTATTCACCTATTGGAACCACATGGGTGCGACGATGAAATGGCTCACCTCCGATTCTCTTTGTACGGGTGGCAAATCACTCTGATTGAGCATTCGTCTCACTGTTCTGCCTGACATGTAGTCTTGAGTGTACGGTCATTAACAATTTGGTTTCATTTTACTACCTACAACTGCCGTAACATTTCAGCGTATTTTCCTGACACCATCGAAATAAAGGACACTCAAAATCCAGTTATTTTGGGGGGTTAGTAATAACCTAACGGTGATTGTGCTATTGCGTAGGTTCAATGGTGGTTTTGTGAATTGACGCAGAGCGGCCAAGACTCATTTATGCTGATTTAGTAAGATCGAACCAACACGACCGATTCCCTAAGTGAACCTCTGCGCCAAACGTCAGTCGGTTACAGGCCACGATGATAAAAGAAGGTCGAATTGCGTGGACAAGGTGATACGGGCGTGAATCGAATAGTTTCCGTAACACTCGGGTATACACCCACGGGGACCTTTGAATTGCTTCGCCATGAAACTATTTCATCTGACTCCATGGCATTCAAGGAATAAGCTGACGTGGACGAAACGGTTGATAATGGATCAAGTATTTCAGGCAACGACAAATGTCGTTTAGCTTGGATGACTTGAGCCGCACACGGTACAGCGGATTCTAAAACATGTAGGACGAGTTGAAGAAACGACAACCCTGATTTTCTAGTGATTAGGGATGCAGCGTCGTACAGTTTCGTTGTAGGAAACTAAGTAAAGACAGATATCAATCAGGGTATATTCTAAAAATTTTACTTCTAACAACGCGTACTCATATCCCATCGCATCACAATCCGTTTGTGCGTTTCAGCAAGCTGCCACAGTGCACACCTCGTCCAGCGTCCACTTACAATACAGATCCTCGCATTAAGTTTGAGTTAGTGGTGTCTAACGTAGCCAAGTCAGAAAACTTCACTAAAGTGTATCCAAAACCACCAGGTAATATTGCTCGATGCACATCAGATACTGCACCCTGAAATTTAAGCGTCACAGCTACACACTAGTGATTTTAATGTTTTGTCCGTCTAAGATTTGTCCCGATGAATTTAAACCGCTTTTGACCAGGTTGTCTATTTCCTGCACTCGAGCTCTGGTCTTGCGTTGAGCCATGTAAGATGTGACAGACGGATCAGTCGATCGAAATAACGGGACAGTGAATGGGTCGTCACTCGATGCTTCGGGCCAATCAATCACACCACTCAAGCGTGAGCACGTACGCCTGTTCAGATGTGTCCAGCCCGTGTTGGTGGAGTAGTGGTAGCATGCTAGCCTCGAATGTCAGATGTGCGGAGTTCAAAGCCCCACACGACCAAGGATATGCACTGCTACTGAGTTGCAGTAATACCGAACCTCGGGTCCAATGCTTCCCACCGCTTTACTGTGGACTGCGCCAGAATAAGAGGACGCCTTTTCAAGCGAGATTGATGTGCGCTTGGAATCTAAAAATCCCGCGACCACCTACAACTTCACTGGAATTACCCATAATGTGACACGGACCCCCTGTTGTGTCCACCATTCCACCTTTCATCTATGACTCCATGTTTATGTACGTTTAATTGCCTGGCACGTCACCGCATTATTAGCTGGCTTAGAAACTGTGGTCGAAAATTCACGTATGGTAGATCGTTTGAGTATTCTGTTCGATCCCGTTTAAAACGAAAGACCGTCTGTCATCTACGTTCTGATTTAATGC